ACACGCCCACAATTATTAGCAATATTTGGTAGATCAAATCAAACACATAAATAATTATCAAAATGTACTTGACCAAATTGAATTTCACACTACTATTCACACCAACATTAACCGCTACCTCGGCATCGGTTGCAGACATTATAGCATTACATACAGAATATTCTGACAATTATTGTGCGAGAAATACACATTACATGTCTGCCTATGGACTCACACTCGCACTCACACCGTATGAATGAGGACTCTCAACGGCCTTGAAATTCTGTTTACACCTAATATTCTGGGAATAAAAGTGTCGATTTTGGTGTATTGTATGAGTGACCATGCGCAATTGCATATGAGCCACCGGATCAATTTTTGGATATTTGATATCTCTGTTTAAATATTTACATATTATGGCAAAAATTCACTTTTATTATAATCTCTAAAATATTCTATTAGTATAATAAGTAATTTAATATATTATAATTTAGAAATTGTGTCATGATACTTGTTATTACTGTATAATATAAAAATACACATATTAATTTTTAAACTTTTTGATAGATTTTTCTAATATAAATTATTTGTTATATAAATTATTTGTTATATAAATTATTTGTTATATAAATTATTTGTTATATAAATTATTTGTTATATAAATTATTTGTTATATAAATTATTTATTTTTAATACGGTAGCAATATTGATTTTAATAAAACCAAATAATTTATAATAAAATATTAATGTTTTAACTTGTTATATTAAATGAAAATATTATATTTATAAATTTTTTATCATGATCAATGTAATAACAATCAAAACTGTAATTAATTACATAAATAGTTTAATAATCAAATTTGTTCCAGGTTAGCCATCTAATCTGAATTGACAGTACAAACAATTATATTTTTTCTTAAATTATCAAGCAACAATACATATTGTATAAATGTTGTATATAATACTTATAATTATATATATATTAAAAGGTACATAATGTTAAAACATTCAGTTAAAATATTTTTATTTATGAAATAATGTGTTATATTGTATATTATATTTTTTAGTAGCACTCCATTTTGTATTAAATATGTTTGTAAAATTAAAATGTATACTTCACATCACATAACCTTTGATTTATCATTATATCATATATTTCTAAATAAGTATGTCTACACGACAAATATTTTTAATACAAAATATATTTTAATATATTTTTGGCAATCTCTCTCTCTCTCTCTCTCTCTCTCTCTTACACGCATTCCTCACTTTTACATACGCATGAATACCCTGATTAAATCAAGTTTACAGATTCCGAGCTATCATACAAAAATATATCCGCCTTTTCCAAGTCACTCGAGTAAATCGTAGCCAACTCTATTGATTTGGGTTGGCTTTTGTCACGAAGCATATAAACGTATAGAAAAAGGACCATGAGCTCAAAAAAACCAAACACTTGTACGTCGAGGGGTAACATGAATAGGCCGGACAGGGAGGCCATTGTCGACACGAATGCGATCCATAGGTTATGTCGAAAGCTCTCGTTATAAGCGGCCAAAACAAACTCAAAAAATATTAGTCCGGATACCAGGCCTACGCTCACCAATAGTCCAATGCTGGCTATGGGGTAGTCATAAATTATTAAGGTAATTTTGGTTGTAATATCATTTTTATAAATATAATTTAATTTTATAGAAACGTTTATAACTAATTTTTTATGTATTTTATTTATAATTATTTATAATACTTACTCTAAATTCCTAAACTTATAATAGCTATAAATAACTTTTAATTTAATATTTTATAAATTATTTTCAACTATATAAACTATGTATTTTAGAATCTTTACCAGATTAATTAGTTAATTAATATTTAATTTCATGTTATTTTCTTAATAATTTACTTAATTTATTCAATTAATTAAATATTTATTAGTAGTATTACAAAATATTAATATATCATTAGCTTAGCTTTAACAAAATAGTAAAAACAAGTAATTTTATTTTAAAATAAATATTTTACCAACCATACCCCAAAAACATAACAATTGTAATATTTAATTTGACATATAAATACATACCAAATTTATTTACAGCTTGATAGGTTTTATCATTATAATCAGAAGTAGTAGTAATGTTACCAGACTCATTTTGCGGCACTTTATTACTATTATAATCAGTTAAATCAGGGGAAAATATGGCATATAGTATCAAATAGAGACTCAATACTAAATTAATAACATGAATGGTAATAGCCAGGTACTTAATTATGTAAAAGCATGTTTTATTAATTATACGAGATTCATTATAAGCGGACATTTTTACGTTAAAAATCAATACGTGTTTTACTCACCAGTGTAATAAATGTAAAATTACTGTACTTTATATGAAATATCCATATTATGTAACATAAAAAATTATTATTGAATTTTGCGTGGGTACCACCATGCTTTGTATGTAATTCAGGTAAAATGTCCATGCGCACAATTATTTTTCTATTTTTAAATATCGTCACTCTATGAGTTTATAAAATTTTAAAAGATATTATTATATTTATTTAAATAATTAAGTATATTTTTTCAAGTATATTATTTTATGTTGACGCATTTTTAAAACTAATATTTTGAAAGATTTTTAAACTAAAATTTCTAGTGCTTTTGTGCAAAAATATTGTATTTATTTTAGTATTAAGCAATAAATCAATAATATTTATAATTATAGTTTATGTATTTTATTAAGTATACAACCATTGAATTTATAAATAGTTTAATTACGGTACATTAAATTAGAATTAATTGTATTTTGATAGGTATTGCTAAATAAATATTTTTATAATCATATCAGGATCAATACTTTATATCTTATTTACTGTATAGTATATTATTATTTTTATTATATTCTTTATTAACACTAATTAGATTTATTATATTCATTAGAATCATTGCTGGATTTTATAATTACATTAGACCATAATTAAGGTTGTAGTAGTAATAAATTTTAGAAACTCTATTTATAATCCAGTATAATATGAACTCAATATAAGTGACAATATAAAAATTATTTTTCATATAATTATTGACAACAAAAATAATATAACGAAAATTAGCTTTTATACTAGTCTTAAATAAACTTATAGACAATAATTGTTATTTTTGTGTAGTTTTTTGTAAAAACATGTTTAAAATACCAAGGGCTATCCAATCAACAATCTTGTTTAAAAATATATTAAATTGTATAAAAATGTTAAACACAAAATGTAAATTAAATACAAGTATAAGTAATGAAATCCATGTATTGGAGGGATTACTAACAAATACATACTCAGCTATTTATGGCAATACTGATGACTACGCCACTAGACGTACACCAAATAAAACCCGTATATTTATTATAATTATTACCCGGGTGTCATTGATGTTAACTGTAATAAGATTTTTTGTCACATCACTAATAAAGGACCCAGATATTCTGGATGTATTATTAGACTTTAATCATATTAAAGTAAAATTGTTACTTTACATTGGTGTGTGCATAGGTGCATTTACTATATGGTGTATTAGTTTGGTAATAATTTACCAAGAACACTACTTTACTTTCCATTTAAACACATTTGCTTACCGGTTGAAGTATGACTTATTTTTATATCCATTATGTAAATACCGAGAAAATAAGCTAGCAAACTATGTTAGTGTTGTAACAAAGTATTTAATTAACCAAATAATATGTTTGCTAATTTTAACATCAATGATATTTCATGTGTATCATACTGTGTTAGTATATTTAAAACAACCTACTTATTTAAAATTTTTAAGTCTAATAGTGTTAAATATAAATATGCTGGTTACTTTTGAAATTGCTTACAGTTTAACATGGTTAGGCTTTATGTTATGGTTTATAAGCACTTATTATATAAAACACAAATTTTTAGAAATTAACACCATGATAATACATGCTATTAAATACACTAACAAAGGACTATTAATGCGGGCTATTATTGAACACAACTATTGGGAAATACAGACTCGGGATTGCAATCACTTTTTCCGGTGCATAATATTTACCATATATTACATGGGAACGGGAGGTATCATGATGTTTATATACATGGTACACCACTCGAGTTCAACAATAAATATGAGATT